TTGCCAAGAAAATCCCATTATAGGATCACCTTAGAGTCTCTATAAGTCAGAAATAACTTGAAGGTACACAGCAATAGGGAAGGTTAATATCCAGCATATTTGTTCTTCCCTGGAACAGAGGAGTATAGGGATGTCCTGACAGAATGAGGTGTTCACTCAAAAGAAAACAATAGATGGGCATTCTGACTCCTGGCCTGATAGATAATCAAAACATCAGTCTGGCTCTGAGTAAAGCAGCAGCCTGGATGTATATTTCCCTTTTTTCTGCATAGGGATTTTGCAACATCCAAAGGGCTCACTGAGAAATTAAGGAACTCATCCGGCTGGGTTCCCCACTTGCTGATCTCCATACCATTGTGTGTCTGTTTGTGCCTTACAGCAATCCTGGCTGCAGGAGCCCCAGAGGCAGCAGCATTTATGGCTGATGAAGTCATGGAGTCCATCCCGGGCCTCAGTCCTGTTCAGTACACCCTCAAGCACTACTTGCTCTATCTGGACAGAATCCAGAGCTGTGCCACAAAGTTAAACAAAGGTAAGAAGAAAGGAGTTTGACACTAAGGGGCCAGCATGGTGTAATGGTTTGAGTGTTGAATTATGACACTGGGAAGCCAGGGTTCGAATCTCAGCTTGGCCATGGAAATCCACAGGGTGACTTTGGACAAACCACACTCTCTCAGACTCAGAGGATGGCAATGGCAAACGCCCTCTGAAGAAACTTGCCAAGAAAACCCCATGATAGAAGGCCTTAGGATCGCCATAAGTTGGAAACTATTTGAAGGCACACAACAACAACATGGGTTCTCCTTTTGTTTCCTCAGCTGACACAGAGAAAAAGTGGACACCTCACTGTGTGGAGCGATGCCTCTGGGCTTGGGCCATTGCAGACAAACTGCAGCTGCCCTCACTGCAGACTCTGGGGCTACAGAAAGCAAGCATGGGCTCTGATGGTGATGTGGACAGACCCAGAAAGAAGCAGAAAACAGAATGAGAGCTTCCAGGCTGCCATGTTTTACCACAGCTCTTGATTCCTCAGTGTACAAATATTGCATCTGAATTCCTCTTGGATGCAACACATTCCCTAAGCAATGGTGAGGAAAGCTGGTAATCCAAAAATTTTGTGTTTGTGGGGCACATGGTATGGATATTAAATGCAACAATTGCTCTGGCACAACCAGGAAGAATTGGCCTTGCTCCAACTGCAATGTAGAATGGCACAGGACAAAGACTCACATTCCTCTTCCTCCCCAGAAGAAGAAGATGCCTTAGCCTACCTTCCCTGCCATAATAGTAATCTGTTCTGGGTTTGCATGGTAATATAACCTTCCCCTTCCTCTTTCTAAACATATACAAACAAAATTATCTTTAACCTTATTTTTTACTTCAGCCACTCTCCAGCACTACAGACAATCTCTGCAAAATGAAATTGGTCTTGGAGAGTATTTTCAGGGCAGAGTCTGCAATGGAGGAGGGAGGTTTTTTAACACTCTGTAGTTCAATCTTGCAATTCCTTTTTTTTTTTTTAACTCCACATTTGCACAGAACAGGTAGTAAGTTCAGGTAGGTGGGATTTTGATTAGGAAGGGACAGTTGCAGGAGAAATCAGTGGTCAAGGTCTGTCTAACCTTTTTGCCCAGCCACCAGTACTTCCTAATAAATTCCTACCTTACCTTCTCTGTTTTTTTTTCTTATTCTCCCAATTCTCCCACTTATATACACTTGTAGACAATAAACAAATTAATATATACATGTATATGATATACTCTTAAGTCCCACTGCGGGAATTGTACTGGGCTATGGGGGGGGCGGGGTCCAGCAGGAGATGTTAAACAAGGTCTTCTCATTGCCCCCCCAAAGAGTAGTCCTGGTCCAGTGTTCACATTGTCTCCAAAAAAGATAGGTTTGGGAAGTTAAGTTTGAAATGGTAACCTTCACTTCCTCCCAATATGCATTTTATACAGTTTTCCACCATTTAGTCTGGTTTCAGCATTTGCTGCCAGTGTGGTACTCTGCCCTTCAGTAGGATTTTAATTTTAATTTTAATTTTAGACACTGATCTAGTTTGCCTACCTCACTTGTGTAGTACATGGCAGAGCAATGGGTTCCCTGGGTACCGCTAGAGGGAACACTTCCACTGCTAAAGCCCTTCCACATACTTTGTTTTTTCTCCACTGTCAGCATTCTCTATAATTGGGGTGGAGTGGGCTGTGTTTTTTACACCGATCTGTGGAATTTTTGCCCAATTGGCCTTGGACTGCTTCTCCTGCTGGTCCTCTGCAATTCTGCAAACACTCACTGCTTGTGAACCAGTTTTTCCCTAATCCCAAATTTGCTTATTAAAAACAGAAAGCTACTGTGTATATGAGTATGTATGTGCCTTCAAGATGCCTGTCAATCTATGGTGACCCCATGAATTTCATAAGGTTTTCTTAGGCAAGGAATATCCAGAGGTGGTTTTACCACTTCCTTCCTCTGAAATATAGCCTGATATATTTCAGTTGTTGGCGATCTCCCATCTGAGTACTAGGGGTGACCCTGCTTTGCTTCTACAAGAAGACAGAAATCTGTGCTTTTAGGATATTTTGGCTCTAACCCATTAGTACCAAGGCATAATATATTACAGTAGTACCAAAGTTGAAATATATTCTCATCCATGCGTCTTGTCCCTATACATAGGAACAACACACCTATCCACAGACATATGCATATTTCTAACAGAAAAATTAAGATTAATGGCTGAATTAATTATTCCAGTACATCACAAGGAAAGCCTTTTCCCCCCTATAAATTTCTCCTCCTCAATCAAAATGTGATCTCCTGTTCGTAACATATCAATCTGGAATATCAAGATTCTTTACTTGTGTGTATTTTAAATGCTTGTGACCCAAATTAGATTTTATACAGTGGACCCTTGCTATCTGCTGGGGTTTGGTTCCAAGATCCTATGTGGCTACCAAAATCCATGGATGCTCAAGTCAAGTGCATTATATACAAAAAAGTTTGCTTTTTGGAATTTATATTTTTTTTAAATATTTTTAAGCCGTGGATGGATGACTTTTTAAGCTGTGGAAAAAGAATTGGTGGATATGGAGGGCCAACTGTATATCTCCCGTCCTTTATGTAATTACATACATAAAGTAAGTTTGCATGTGTGCATGTTTTGCAGGATGAGGAAGACTAGAAATGGCTCTCTTCATTAGAAATGAAGGAAATCAAGAGGAGGAAGGGGGGAAATTGAGTTCTGCACCTGTTTCCCTGGGAGTAAAGCCTTGCTGAACTCAGTATGGCTTCCTTTTGAACAGATACGTATAGAACCATAAACTGTGAGGATTCTCTAAAATAAGACACAGGGCTTCAGGGCAGTGGTGTCCAGCCTCATTTTTTCCAGAGCCTTTGGATATCTATCTCTTCTGTCTGGATACAAATGCTGGGGCTTTTTTCATGCCAACTTTTCAATAAGTGTGTTTTCCTGCTGCCCAGGAATTTGCCTTCTGGCCTGCACTGCACTGCATGGACTTTTCTGCTCTAGTAATTTTTTGTTCCCTTCAGTGCTCCAAGCCCCACTTTTGCTGGCCTTGCCCACATTCCCTGATTTCTATCCGTTTATACATCCCCCCCCTCTCTCTTTTTTTTTTTTTTTTAATCTCCAGAGAGCCAGCGGCTCATTTGGAAAATTTCTTAGCCTCTTGGACTGCACAACTGCACATGGAAATGATCTTTCAAAGTCATGGGAGGGAAAGTCAATGGCACTCCTTTCCTCTATTAGTGAATGTAGAAAACACGTTGCTGGTACAGTTCTTGTGCACAAGGCCCATTGAGATGAACAGGACTTTTGAAAGCGCACAACTGTGACCTTGTCCCCCTCCAAAAAGTTTTACACTGATTTGAACTTCCCTATAGATTAGTCTTCCCCCAGCTTTGTGCCTTGGTATACTGGACTCCAGCTTCCAGTATTCCCAACCAGAAAGGCTTCATTTTTTGCCTGTCTGGTCTTTCAGCTGGTCCACTGTGGTGGACAAATGAGGGACTGTCTGGGTAAGGGGTACCAGATCCATCCTTACATAAGCATATACAACCGCATCAAGCTGAGATCCTACATCACTTCAGCACAGCATAGATATGCACCAGTAGTGGATTATGTGAACATGCTGAGTGCCAGTGTAGCACAATGTATGTGGATCACTGCTCAATGTGCACAGCTAATAACCCATGGTGCATTTACAATAGTGGTAGAATTCAAAGATATAGCCATGTTAGTCTGTAGAATCAGTATGTAGAGAGATGTTGTAGCACTTTTGAGACTAACCAAAAGAAAGAAGTTGGCAGAATGAGCTTTCCTAGACTTAAGTCTACTTCCTCAGATGCACTTATGTCTACGAAAGTTGGTGCTGCCAATTTCTTTCTTTTAGTTAGTCTCAAAGCTGCTACAAGATCTCTCTACATGCATTTACAATGTGCAGGATTCAAAGGCAATGCATAGAGGCAATGTCCCTTCACATGCTAGTAATGGATGTGCAATGGTTCCACATGCCTAACTCCACTTCTGCCACTTTCAGCTGGGATCAATCATTGCCCCAAAAAATCACTCTTCATGCATAGTAGAACTTATACTTCTGTACATCACTAACAGGTCGCTAGCCTACGTGTGGCTGAAAGTGTTCACCTGGAACAGAAGGATCCGTGGAGAGCAGCATTTGGTTTCTGAATTGTTTTAGGTATCACTCCTTCCAGTGCCAAATTCAGATAGAGATCGCTGAGCTGACAAGACCAAATTCAAAAGCAGAGCTATGGAGAGACAAGAGAGAGGTATCAACCCTCCCTTCACCAAACCTGCCTCGGATGTTTGTTACGAGGGTACAGTGGGAAAGAAGAGAATCAAGCCATTTCCAACTTATGGCAACTCTAAGGTGAACCTATCATGGGATTTTCTTGGCAAGTTTTTTCAGAGTGGGTTTGCCATTGCCTTCCCCTGAGGCTGAGAGTGTGTGACTTACTCAAGGTCATGACCGAGCAGGGAATTGAACCCTGATCTCCAGAGTCATAGTCCAACTCAAATCACCAAACCACACTGCCTCTCTCATTAGGCCATTATACTGGCATAATTCTGGATTATGGCAGTGGTTTGTGTGGTATAAAGAGGTCTAGTATCTCTCTGCCCAATGCAGGCAGTTTTCCAAAGGCCAGTTAGCCAAACTGGCACAGATCCATCATCCAACTTAGAAGTCTACTGGCCAGACCATCACCCAAAACATTGACGCTGTGTAAGTACATTGTCAGAGGAGCTTTACATTTATTTCACCATTTCTGAACAGGATCTTGCCCTATGGGAGATGTAGTCTGTAGTATCTGGAGGGCATAGTATCTGCCTCTCCCTGGTTTATCTGGGAAGCTGCTCTGAGAATTTCAGTGGATTGGAAGTCAGAAGATAAACTCCAATACTAAATAAATCAAAATAAAATCCGGCACAGACGTCAATCGTGTTGGGCAATTAGTTCACTCCAGTGAAATGCCAAGCCACACGCCGGGGAAGCAAATCCCCAGTGCGCTCTTTTTAATCCTCCCAAAGAATGTAAAGGATTATTTGATGCTGATACGTTAACAGTCGTTGCCTTGCGATGGTTGCTGCATTTGGCCGAGGAAAATCAGAAGCAATTAATAACATTGCTGCTCTTGTTTGGGGGGAAATGGAGATTAATTGGAAGCAGATTGCAAAGACCCAAGTTATTTTCAGATACCATGTGTGTATGCGTATGCATGCGCACACACACATGGAAAACCCCAGAAACCTACCTGGATCACTGCCTCTCCAACACTGCATCATTCAGTGACTTCCCAAGCACCGCTCGGCTGCAAAGGAGGATTTGGAGGGTCATGTTCAGTTGCTAAGAAGTGTAAACATGAATCCCAAACGTGAATCCCAAACACAGAACAGAAGGCCTGGCAGATTTTTTCCCTACACACCTTTCAAGGCAACTCTCTTGCCCTGAAATTCCTCCTCCTTGTCCTAAGACCTGGCAATGCTAGCTATGACCTGCCTTGCTAGGGCTTCAACCCACATTGACCAAACTGTGAACCTTCAAGGTGGCCTTTGTTGTGTTGTTCGTAGCAAGCTGCCTCCTTGAGTTTAGTAAGCTGTCCTTATTGCAATAGAAGAGCATGGCATAAACAGTCTTATCTTAATAAATAAACTATCTGAATAAATGCAAAATTTTAATTAATAAATAAGTGGCCTCTAGCAGCAGCCTCCCTCCAGCTTGGCAGTGAGAGAGCCGAGGAAAAGGGAATGCATTTTGACCACAAAATAGGTCGGGAATGGATTTTGAAAAGCATACTGATGTGCCATGGTCCTAATCGTTCCTTCACCGCTTATTTTAAAAAGGTTTTTATTGTTATTATTACAAGAGGAACATTCAATCCATTCATTCATATATTTAACATCATTTCTAATGCTTGCATAGATATCCCGCTGCAGAACAACACAACAACAACAACACCTTGAGAAAATGCAGACCTGTGGCTAATCTCATCATTTTATTTTATTTTTCTTCTTCTTCTCCGGTACGATTAACCTCCTCTGGACAAATCTTGCCAAGAAAACCCCTTGATAGGTTCTCCACAAGTCGGAAACAGCTTGAAGGCACGCAGCAACAATTATTTTTTAACCATCTTTGCCTGATGAAGAGGCCAGTGAAGCTTCGAAAGCTTGCATCATGTATTTTGTGCCTTTGGGTTTTTTGAATAAAAGTATCTCTGTTTTGTGGATTTTGGATGTTATTGTATTTTGCTACACGGCCAACGCGGCTGCCCTTGAATATATTTGCAGGGCAATTGTTATTCATTGCCTCTTCTCCCGTTGCTCCTCTTTGACTATTTTACTATTCCCTCTGTTGCTTTGGGAGCACGGCCGTCATTGTACAGCCTCATCCATCAGCTTCCCAACTTGACCAAAGATCTGAGCCATTTATATTCAGATGCAAAAGCCCTCTTTCAATATGATGACATTTGGTGGGAAGGGTGAAATTAAATAACAGAAAACTGACTGCAAGCCATTAATATGTGTTCTCTCGTTCTGAATGCATGGGTGCGAAGTGTCTGCAGATTTTAAACAAAGGCCAATGAGCAACACCATCACACATCCATCTCCCCCATCCAAAGCAGCATGCCTGCACACAGTGTGGAGTTGTGTCACATAGACCCTCCGGCAGTAGCAATAAAGAGGGATCTAATTCAATTAGCTGCAGACCCAGCATTATTAGCCAGCCTGGCTTTGCAGAGATCAGTGGCAGAAGAGCCAGGAAAGGGGGCTCCTGCAAAAAGAGAGAGGGGCTACTTTGGAAAGGGGACAATTCTTTTTCGCTGGAGGGTTTTTAAAAGACAGGTTAGATAGCCAGCTCCCAGAGATGCTTCGGTAATGGATTCTTGCCCTGGATTCTTTGGTGTCATGGGCCAATTTGATAAGCATGTCCCCTATTCTTTCATCCAACTTGGATGAAAGAATAGGGGACATGCTTATCAAATTGGCCCATGACACCAAATTAGGAGGAATAGCTAATACCCCAGAGGAATCCTGTGCCCAGTTCTGGGCACTACAGTTCAAAAAGGATGCTGAGAAGCTGGAACTATGTCCAGAGGAGGCCGACTAAAATGGTGAAGAGTCTGGAAACCATCAAGCCCTATGAGGAGAGACTTAGGGAGCTGGGGATGTTTAGCCTGGAGAAGATATGGTTAAGAGGTGATATGATAGCCCTGTTTAAATATTTGAAGGGATGTCATATTGAGGATGGAGCAAGCTTGTTTTCTGCTGCTCCAGAGAATAGGACCTGGAGCAATGGATGCAAGCTATAGGAAAAGAGAGTCCATCTCAACATTAGGAGCATTATAGGTTTCATTATTTTGGCAGTTTTGCAGCAGACCTTTTCGTGCTTGCATAACCATAGTTCTGCAAGGGTGCCCATTTCACTTGCAGTTGCTCATTCTGGGACGGTGCATAAATACAGTAAGTTGAAGTGAGAGGAATTAATAAATACAGTAACTATTTGCCAGTGCCTTCAGTGTACCAGTTAATGCACTGGCACTGCAAAAAACATCCATTATATATTCCTTGTTGCACAATGGGACAATAAGCAGATGACACCTTGTATACCCTCCAGCTGTCCCAAATTGGCAGGTACAGTTCTCTGCCATCCCACTTTTCATTTGCTTTTAAAATAAGAGAGGTAGAATAATGCCTTTTCAGCACTGGACTATGATCACCTGGAGACCAAGGTTCAAATCCCAGCTTGGCCATGGAAACCCACTGAGTGACCTTAGGCAACTCACACTCTCTCAGCCACAGAGCATGGCAACAGCAAACGTGCCCAAAACACCCTATGATAGGTTTGCCTTCGGGTCGCCATCAATCGGCAACGACTTGAAGGCACACAACAACAACATACCGTTGTTACTGGGGAAAAGGAATGAATTGCAAGCTATTTGTACTAGTTAGAGTCAAATGACAGTTAATTATAACTAGTTGCATCTAAGCTGGAGGGGAGGGAAGACACCCAGAGATGGTGGACTTAAGATTCTGGGTCAGAAAAGGCAATTATTTCTGGAACTAGACTTCTTACTTCAGGCAGATGAGCAACCTGTCACCTGGGCTAGCTTTGAAGTGAGAGGAATTCATAAAACAGATAGACAGAAGGAGTGCAAAATATTTATTCATATTTCTTTCCTTTCCCCCATCACATTGCAGATCTGGGTAGTGCATTTACTGTCAGGAAGTTCGGTCTCCCTGCCCCCTGGTTCCCAATTTCCCCCTATTGCACATCCAACCCTGCACATTTGTCAGTATCATATGCCTCATCTCTCCTAAAACAGACATTTTTTTCCTCCCAGCCGCCCGATCTAGCAAGATCTGCAGGATTGTCATGCCATGTACCAGAGAGCCACTGCTGGACCGAGTCCTTTTGGGTCTCATGGTGCATCATGTATTAAAATCAATACACATCCCCATTAATGATTCCAAAATGACTCCCTTCCTTTGTTATTTATGGGAGAAAAAAAAATACATTCACCTGTTTCAAAGCCATCTTGGAAGTTTAAACACCAAAGATCCCAAAGCTCAGCAAAGTTCCTTTCCAGGGCTACAACTCCCAGAATCCTGCAGGCTATGCTAGCTATAGGATGCTGGGAATTATAGTCCCAGAAAGGAACTTTGACAAAGGTATCTGTGTATCAACTACAGGCACTTTGCAGCTGTTGATGTTTCCAAATTCTGAAGACATCCAAGGACATGTGCATTTTCCATCCTGGACATGCTTAACAACAAAATAATAATGATTTTGAATAACAAAATCCGTGGATGCTCATGTCCCATTATACACAATGGCACTGTAAAATGCTGTCCTGTATATAAAAATGGCAAAATCAAGGTTTGCTTTTTGGAATTTATACACTTTTTTAGAATATTTTCAAGCCGTGGATGATTGAATCTATGAAGAATCCGCGGATACAGTGGGATGACTGTACTTTGCCTTGGGTAGCAAAACATTTTTGGCTTGACCTTTGCCCCTGGCTTGGAGCTTGTATCCCACCACTTAGTAGAAGTTACATTTGAACTGGCATAGTTTTATTTCAGTCTGGGCATCCAGATAACTCTGCTGCTATCATCAGCCATGGACTGAGCCCATGCAAGACAATGCAGTTAACCCTCCATATCCACGGATTTTTTTAATGCATGGATTCTAGGATCTAGAGTTTGAAAATATTTAAAACATCTCTAGATTCCTAAAAGTAAACCCTGATTTTGCCATTTCATATAAGGGTCACTATTTCAATGTGCCATTGTATTTAATGGGACTTGAGCATCCATGGATTTTGGTATCCACAGAGGGTCCTGGAAACAAACTTCAGTGGATCCCAAGGGCCCACTGTACTTGGCAATGCTAAGCATCCTCATGGGAAGTCTGGAGATCATTTAGACAAAGGATGAGGTCCAGTGGCTTCTAGGAAGGAACATAGATCTGACCATCATGAATGCTTTCTTGTCTAGGGAGTGGCCCATGTTTGAAATCTGTCTTAAGGTTTTGAAA